GTGTGTGTGTGTGTGTGTGTGTGTGTGTGTGTGTGTGTTTCCCTCCTCAGAAGGTGATGGTGTGGTTGATGTATGTGACGACGTTCTGCTTCTGTCTGACGTGGCAGTTCAACCAGTTCATCCTGCTCGTCCAGGCGCTCATCATATACACCCTGGACTGTGGTGATTTCCTGACAACCACACAGGTATGGCTCCGACAAGGACCAGGCACTTATGATATATTATAAGATATCTCTAAAATGGCGCCATTCAGCTGACTGAAAATGGTCCGTCTAAAAGAAACAAAGAGTCTTACAATGTTTTATTTAGCTTCTGGTAGCTTTAGTCATGTAACTGTAAAATAGTTGTTAGTTATTTATACACTATTATGGAAGCACACATTGATGGATACTGGCTTGAGTCTCACTTCACTGTGTGTGTGTATGTGTGTGTATGTGTGTGTGTGTGTGTGTGTGTGTGTGTGTGTGTGTGCGTTCCTCTAGGTGACCACTATGTACCTTGTTCAAGTGTGCAGTCTGCTGAGCGTGTGGCTGCTCCAGTTCTGTAACTCCATGATACTGGGATCGCTGGTCCTGAGCTTCATCGTAGCCGCACTCTTCATCAGACACTGCCAGGTTAGTGTGTATGTGTGTGTGTGTGTGTGTGTGCGTGTGTGTGCGTGTGTGTGCGTGTGTGTGTGTGTGTGTGTGTGTGGGGAATACAAGTAAAAGGCAGGAATTGGGAACACAGAGAATCACGATTGTCACAGTCGCACAGACAAATATCCAGACAGTTGTTGTAGCTCGTTCGCAAAACACAGATGGAAGATTAACCCGCGCAGCGCGGAGAAGCCCGCGCTGCAGTTTTTTGTAGAAGATAATTCCAATTTGTATGCCGGAGACACATTTTCCTGTCAGGTGTGAATGCAATTTAGTTCAATCAGATCGTATCACAGCAACAATTACAGAAACATTTACTGTGACAGGCTGAAAGTGGGAAGGAGAGACAGATGGAGGGAGGTTGGGAAAGATTTCTGGCTTTAGATCATTTCTACATAGTAACACATGCTCTTATTGTGAAAGGTTTCATTAAGCCATTCGTACATGGTTTAGAGGCGTGGACTCGAGTCATAGCACTTGGACGACTCGTGACTTCACTTGGACTTTAGCTTTTGGCTCGGAACGACATTAAAAATTCATGTTATGAAAAAAAAGTCTGCAGTGTATCAACTCTTCATTTCCAACATTCCTTTTTTTTGTTTTCAAGCCTTCACTGGTTAAATGAAAAACTCCTTCGATGGTAAATGCCGTCTGGTTAATGTGCAAGCTGGCGCTTTGCGCTCGGCCAAACACCATTTTGTGCCATCCTGCAATCTAAAGGCCACTGGTGGACCTTCTTTTTGCTTTCGCGTTCTCCAGCTCGCTCCTAACTGACTGGTGAAAGAAGTTATTTTTATATTACATGAGTGTAGCATTAGTGTGCTACACTCGTCGATGTGTCCTTGGGCGAGACACTCAACCCCAAGTTGCTCCTGTCACTGTGCCTGCGGTGTGTGAATGTTAGATAGTCCTGATGAGCAGGTGACACCTTGCATGGTAGCCCCTGTCATCAGTGTATGAATGGGTGAATGATTACATGTAGTGTTAAAGCTCTTTGAGTGGTCGGAAGACTAGAAAAGCGCTGTACAAGTACAAGTCCATTTACCATCTTTTTAAAATGTAACAACAGTTGACTGTTGATCTTTACAAATCAATACTCCGTGGTCTAATAATGGTATAGCTGTCAGTACTGGGAACAAATATTTGAATCAAAAGACAAATGGAATCATGTTTTTGGATAATTGTGACAGCCTAGCATTGACTAATCTCTTGTTGCAGCCCGGTCTGAAGACGGGAGGCCCGCTGTTTCGTCTGGCCAAACTGCTCCTCCACAGCACCATGGTTCTCCTCCTCACCTTCACCATCAACTACCTGGCCAAGGTGCTCCTCCTCTCATACCTCCCTCCTCCCCATATTTACTTATACATCTCAGCATGCTGATCTTTAGCCTTGACAAGATGACCTTATCTGTGTGTGCGTGTGTGTGTGTGTGTGTGTGTGTGTATTTGTGTTTACAGAAAGCTCTTCAGCTCAGATCAGACGAACACATCTTTAAATTCATCAAGTCAAAGCTCGCCTTGGGGCCGACAAGGTAGGAATGCACACTGCGTGGATGCATACGCGCAGTGTACACACACACACACAGAACAGACTGACGCGCTCTTGCGCCACGCTTTACTCTCGTTAATCTGTACTTTGCCACTAAGGCGTGCTCACACACGCGCAGCAGAGTCTGCACAGCCTGAGCTCACGCACCTCTTGACTCGATGCAGCTCGACTGTATTACTCACTGAGCACCAGTGTTGTAGCACCCGGAGTGTGAAGTGTGTGCAAATAATAGATGTCCATGTAACGCCACCAGGCCTCTCACCGATCAGATACCGCGTGTGTGTGTGTGTGTGTGTGTGTGTGTGTGTGTGTGTGTGTGTGTG